CGCGATATTTTGTAACGGTATAAAGGCGAGAAATCGTGCGGACTCCCCTCCCCTCCCCCCAGACCGTTACGAGAAAAAAAAGCCAAGAACCCAGCAAAAGAACTCCACCGAATGAATCGCGGAAAGACGGAAAAAAAAATAAATGACAGGAACCAGAGCAAATCCGCTCTGCATCACCGCCGAGGAGACGGGAAAGAAATGGACCCTGGCAGAGGCCAATCCGCCGGTCATCCGCCTTGCCAATCCGCTGGCCATCCGCCCTGCCGATCCGCTCGCCCTCCTCGGCGCGGATTCATTAAATCGAGTAACAGAACTGTGAGAGATTCGAGTGCGTGGTGATGACGGTAATGAAGGTAATAATTATTATGATCGTGATAATAATGGTGATAAAATAGCGATGATGATGATGATGATAATAGTTAACTGTATAATAATAAGATTTAGCACCACTACCATGAAATGTGCCATAAAACATTTAATTATCCGCCAACACATTTATATATATATTTTTAAATATTTATTCATTTATTATATGGTAATCGATAAAGGGCCTCGACACCCACCTGCGGGCGGGCGGGGGCCCCGCGTACTCCGCCACCTTCGGCAGCGTGTTGTCCCGCGAGAGGACCGGCAGCGTCTTGCTGAAGAACTCCAGCGTCTTGTTCCGGATGAGATCGCTAGGAGACAACGGGGGTGTGTCAGGCTCTTTCCGTGGGATCTGGGACGCGGTTGTTACGGGGGGGAAATAGGACGAAAAGAAAAACGGGAGAGCGGCAAAAAAAATTCGGAGAGCAACGAATAAAATTAAGAGCTGGAAAAAAAATTTAAAAAATAATATAATAATAATCATAATAAATAAATAAATAAAACTAAACAAAAAATCGTTGAAGAATAATGAGAGAAAAGCGAAATTGGGACTGACAAGGGATAGGCAAAGCCCTTGAAGCTTTGGCCGAAGGGATTGACGGGCAGGGTCCCGTCGTTCAGGTTCCCGCACAGGTTCTCCAGGCCCTGCAGGTTCGGTGTGTCGCCGGTGCCTGGAGGGGGAGAGGGGTAATTGGTTGGGGTAATTGAGAGGGTGATTGTGTGGGGTTGGTACGGGGTTCCGCCGGGGGAATGCTTAACGAGGCTCGTTAAACGGAAAGGAAAAGGACCGTTTCGCGGGCGAGCTTATCTCGCTTGGGAAGTTGAAACAAAAAGAAAGAAAAAAAAACAAAGAAAAAAAAATTGCACAAATATTTAATATTTATTTTATATTATATAGTCGGTTCTCACCCGGGCAGGAGATTTGAATCAGAATGTACGGAGGCTTGAGGACGGAGGGTGGGGTGCCCTGGGGTGCGACGTTGAAGAGGTGGTACCCCTCGGGGAGGTCCGTGTTGGGTTTGAGGGTGGGGGGACCCTGCCGGAGTCGCAGGCGGGCTGAGGTCCAGCTGTACCAGATCAGGAGCAGCTACCAGATTAACCGCCACTGGGCGGGGGGGGGGGAAGAATTGGAAATTCCATTAGATGTTTTTTGAATTTTCTTAAAGGAAAGATTAAGGGATTATGAATACATTTATTTAAAAAAAGATATTTATCTTAGAAAATGTTTTAAGGTGACTGGTGTAAAGAGGGAGAGTGATGAGATAAGCGATTAGATAATGGCGAGTACGACAGCATCATGACACGAAGCGTCGTCGGGAATGAGCGAGGGGGGAAATCATCTAACTTAGGGGAAGCTGGGAGGGCGTGGAAGGTGAAGGTCACACCCACGCACACACGCACGCGAGAGGACGCGAAACACGTCGAGATTCACTTCCTTGGGAGTCCTTGTATCTCTAGTGCAGATGGCGGCAGGGGAGTCGAGGGAGCACTGACGGAGGGAGTCCTGTTAACCCGGTCATAACCCGGTGGAGTCGAGAGATTTTCTCTCTCTCTCGCCTTTATAACGATACAAAATATCGCGTCACTCCCATCTCGACGATCATCGGCCATTAGGAGGGACTAATCCGTCTCTGCAATTATCTTGGCGTACAGGATAATCATACGAATAATCGGAACCTGCTCGCTTCAGTACACCGTTATCGGTGACCCTTCGCAAACTCTCGAAGGGGTGATCGGCCATTTCTCATTTTTCATTTCCCTTTCCAGGATTCTTGGCGGGTTTTGTCGAGTACATCCTGGAAGAACTGTGAAGGTCGGCCTGGGACCAACGATTGGCCTGGGAATGGGCCCACACGCGCGTGTGAATGACAAGTAACGGGGGTTCGTTGCCCGCCCTCGGGGCGAAAATGAAAGAAAAGGGAATCACGACAAGAATCCTTCATTCCGGAATACATTAGGGCCATTCCACGCCATCTCGATCAGAGCGTGAGCCCGACCATCTCTGATTTTGACGAAAATCGGCGTACACGTAGAGAAACCGATTTTAAGAGGGTAATTTCAACCGTTTCCTTATCTTTCGCACAGATCTCCAGACATATGCATGGGAATGCCGCCAATTTTTGGCACCTGGTCAAAATACAGACTGTAATTGTAAAACTGTTTCTGCATGTACTTATTCTGTAGTTAAGATGCAAGCTTCATCCTGGTGTCATTTTAATTATGAAATTGTCGTCTTAAATTTGATTTGAGCACACGCTCTGGTCGAGTTGGTGCAGAATGACCATTTTTCATGAGCAATCAGACGCGATGGGTAATCTTGGTTTTCGCCGTAGGGTGGTCCGCACGAATTCTCGCCGTTTCCGAGGGGGTCCGGGGTATCGGCCGGCACGAGGACGTTTGGGTCGGCGCGAGAGTGTTGCGACTGGCACGAGAGTGTTGCGACTGGCACGAGAGTGTTGCGATTGGCACGAGAGTGTTTACCTTGATTGGTGTCACCGTTCCTTTGTCTCGGAGGGGAAGGAAAGAATGAAACAGTCCTCTGAAGCGGAGGGAAGAAAATGAAAAGTCACAATGAAGAGTTCCAGATGCAACGGGAAAAGTGTCACATGTGACGGGAAAAGTGTCACATGCGATTGCAGGTCGCGTCCTTCTCGAGCGTCAGCGTGATGGACGATATGGAACGGCGCACCTTCACGATCCCGGAGGCATTCTTCGAGGGGCTATTGCCGGAGGAGGGGAGGTCGACTGGGGAGAGCATGGCCGGGACGAAGTCGTTGACCAGGCAGATTGAGTTGGAGCGGGACCGCGAGGAGTAGGGACCCTGCATTCGGGTCGTCTGTTCCACTCCCGATCCTGCAGAAATAAATCTTCCAAGTGACCGGTGACTCTTGAGAATTTTAGGTAAAAATTCAAGAAATGTTTGTGTCGAAAACTAAATGAATGTTTGGCTATCGACTGAAATTTTAATCCGTGCAGTCAGCCTGTGATTTGAATTTGCCTTAATAAAAAAAATAACGGCTTTAAGAACAGTCATATCAGGAAAACATTGTTTTCGCTGAAGAATAAAAATTCAAACCTGTGCTGGCCATGATGGTCAAGATATTGCTCGCCATGCTGGATGGACCGTATGGTCCGGGATCGCAATCCTCCCAAGCAGTGCTCGGATAAGCCGGCTCGTCGTGCTTCATCAGGTCCATCCCTGAAACGCCCGATAGACCTCATTCGCGGCCGATCGCCACTCGCATCCATACGGAGGATGGAGGACTCCCGCTTACCTTGGATTTCCATTTCCCTCGAGACGCGGAAGATCCCGAGTTTCTTGAGGATTCCGAAGAGGACGAGGCAGAGAGAGGCTGACCAGCCGGAGATGGCCAATGCTCCCACCAGGTTCCATTCCAACACCTGAAAAAAAGTTGTGAAACGAAAGAAAGAGAATGGAGTTTTGGAATGACTTCGAATAGCTACAATGACTTTTGTGCATGCAGAGACGGGGTTCCCGAGTTCAAGAGACGCTTGGATCTCAGAGGCGGCGCCAGGGCGTTAAAAAAATTCGTTTAAAAACTTCGCGTTAAAAAAATTCTTCCTCGACCAGATTCGATTGGATCAGGAGTCGTGAGCGGATTTCGTATTCATTTAAATTCCGAGATACCAGAGAGAAGCATTTGGGGCTTCTCTTTCTCTCTGGGGGCTGGGGCTGGGGAGGGGGGGGGGGGGGGGGGGGGGGGGGGGCNGGGGGGGGGGGGGGGGGGGGGGGGGGGGGGGGGGGGGGGGGGGGGGGGGGGGGGGGGGGGGGGGGGGCAGTTCCCGCGACAAGGGAGAATCTTTTCCTTGAGAAGTTATGGGAGAAGTCGGTCGAGAAATCCGTTTCTAACTCGCAGACGGGCGTGAATCGCAACAGTGGACTCGTTTCGCTCGTCCCGGTAAGTTTAATTTTTTTTTTAATGCTCGGACTGTCTTGCAGGCAGTTTCGTCACTCCGTTTTCGCCATTCTTCTCCCCCGAAAACGCGAAATGAAAATGGAAGCTAATTTCTCGGGCCGTCGGCACATCTGCATACCCCATTTCCCCCCTTTTCCATTCAGCGGGCTCACCGCGACAGAGTTCCTGGAGGGATCGAAGATGATGCCGCCTTCCATGAAGAAGGCGACGGCGATGATCCCGAAGAATCCGCCCCCAAAATGAACGGAGAACGCGTCCAGAGGGTCATCGACTGCACCGCGTTCGCACGCCCAAAGGAAGACAAATACATATAAATTAAAAAAGACATATATTACTAATATATAAATGATGTATGCATACAAGGCGTTCGCATTTAAGCACAACTTTGAGTTTAATTTAAATTAAACGTAGCTTTAATTAAGCATAGTTTAATTTTGCGGCCTGTAGGTTGAGTTCGGCGAATGCTATAAGACCGAACAGGGTGCATATCTGCAAGGAAACACACCAGTGATTGATTTCATCCTTCTAGATATGCAACCCGGAGAACGATAAGGCACGCTCTGAACTCCACAAACAGGCGGCAAAATCTTTCGAACACAACAATTATCATAGAGTCAGCGCACGGTGAGCAGGAATCGTATTTCTCTGACCGTCAGGAACCAATTACTTTCTCTTCTCAATTATTCATTGCTGCATATATCGTCAGGCCATGAAAGAATCATTGAATTAATTAATATTAATCGCACGTATTTAATTTGTCATTCTCACGTAACATGCAAAAATAATTATTTTCCTCATTCCAGCTGCATACTTCACCAGAACCCACCCCCCACAACTCATCTGACAACGGCAACGAAGAAAACGCCAACCTTTCAGCCTGAGGAGGAGGAAGTGAAAGCAGAGGAAGGTGAATCCAGCCCCCACGCCGACGACGAGGGCCGCCCACGAGGGGAAGACGTCGCTCCCCGCGCACACGCCCACCTAAGGAGCAATCGTGGTGCGTCGAGGTCAGAGCAAGGAATGCATTTCGATAAATATGAGAGTCGTGGCGCTGGAGGCGAGCTAAAGTGCGTTCGGAGTATCCCAGTAAATAATGAAGCAGGACTGGAAATTATTTCATGATTGATTATGGATGGCAAAGGGGGGCGAGGGGGGGGGGGGGCTGGAAGTCCAAGGAGATCAGAGCAAATCTTAATATTACTAATTCGGGGTCCGTAATCAAGAAAATGACATGTTTACAGCTCGTAAAGAAAGCCAACGCTAGTTTGGTGAAATTCAAAGTCGCGCTGTTTCGAGAAGTAAAATGAGTTGGTGTGGGAGCATCAACGGGCTCATGAATAGGCGTCGGTGGAAGAAATGAAATCCATAAATCTCATATTTCGCCTAGCATCAATCCTTTCTCCCTAGTCGCGGGGGACAAGGGATAGACATCCACGTACGAGTCCAGCGAGGGCACCGTTGAGCGTCATGAGGAAGCTCCAGGCGTTCGTGTGTCCGAAGGTCCCAGCGCGGTGGATGACGAGGGCCCCGACCCCACCTCCGCATGCGCCTAGAAGGGCATTCACTATGGCCCGGCTGATGACTTCACTGTCGCCCGGCTGACTGATGTGACCCCGGAACCCGGCGTTGAATGCCAGGAAGCCGAACATCAAGATGAATCCGCCCAGCGCCGCCAACTGATGGAGTAGTACCCAAAAAAAAATTATAAATCAAATATAAATCAAATTACGATTATAAAACGCAACATCCCATTGCGGAGTGGATGTCGACAAGAGCAATAGGACTATAATGGGAATATTTTTTCCTACTCGTTATTTTTTTTTAAATGGGAACTCCGCCAACTTGTTTCAATGAAAATCATCTTTTTTTTTTCATGCTCGGACGCGCAAGACGGATGTGCCTTTTCACTCGAGGCAGTCATCAACTCCGACAGTGACGCAAATTATTTGAATAATTGAAGCATAATAATACTCTCTCAACAGCGATTTGCAATTTAAATAGCTATTTAGTGCGATTTTCGTAATGGCTGTTCAATTACTGCTTATAAAATGATTTAACTCGGTCTCGCCATCGCTATGAGCTGTAATCGCGGTAGAAAACACTCGGAAACTCAGGGAAATTAAGATGATATCTCAATTCATTCATAATTTCTTTACATTCGTGAATTTTAAAGTGTTAGCATACGTCAGTGGCAAACGACTACTGGCAAAGTTAATGGCAAAAATCATCGTTCGTTGATTTCATCGAGTCGAAAGTGAAGGGCTCCAGTCGGTTCCGTCCGGGAAAGGCCGAGCCATCAGAGCGTTCCCGGAACAGACGAATTTTTGTTCTCAAATATTTTTTTTCATCGCATTTTTTTGCCGAGATCGAAGGTGGAAACCCGCGTGGAAGGCATTGACCTCGTCCATCACGCTATGCCTCGCTTCCGCGTGAGAACAGAAAACAGAGGATTGCTCTAGGCCGACGAAAACGGAATGGAGCGGCATGACGTCCGTGGGAAACCCATCGCGTCCCCATAAAAATTAATTTGCGAAAAATGCTACAGACGGGGACGGAATGGCCTCGAATGTCTTGCGGTTCGCCGGTCTTCCCATGGAACCGTCCGATGCGAGGACCCATGAGGACAGCACCGACGAGAGCGCACATGCCACCCAGCATGTGCACCACGCCTCCCCCGGCGTAATCCCTGAATGCTGTCTGCTTCAGCCATCCCTCCCTGTGCCACGCCCAATGGGAAGCCACCGGGTAGATGAAACCTGCACAGGAGAATCGGCAAACAATCGAAAGCCGTGAAAACATCCACGATTGAAAACATACAGTATGTACCTGGCTGTTTTACTATCGATCCGGAATAATTTTTCTGGCATGGTCCTCTTGGAAAAAATGTAATTATCTCAACAGATCCGTGTGTCCTTCAGGGTCGAGTTCCTCTCGACCGACCCTTCCCCGCGCAAAGTACGACGAATTGAAAGCAGGTACTTCTTGTACAGGGTGTTCGTTTTTAAACTCAACATAAGGAAAATTTTGCCGCCTGTTTGTGGAGTTCGGGTTTAGAGCGTGGTTCACCGAGTTGCATATCTGAAAGGATGAGACCTATCCCTGGTGTGTTTCCTGGCAGATATGCAACCCGGTGGGCCTTTTAGCGTTCGTCGAACTCCACCTACAGGCGGCAAAATATTCCCCTTCGTTGCGTTTAAATACGAACACTCTTTATACGGGTGTGTGAAGATTTCACTCAAAGAGAGGGCCATATGGGAGTGCCATGGAATTTTTAGCGTGTCGGTCCTGCTGCCACCAACACGCAGTAATCCAAGAAGAGCTTAGTATATGATGGAAAGCCGGGGAAGAAGAGCCTCTTCGTTCCCTCAACGGTCGCCGATCCTGTGAAGCCCAAATAGCTCATGTCTGGCCGCATTCGCTTCGAAGAGCTCGAATGGACTTGGCGACGGGGGTCCTCCCGCGAGGCGGAGCGGAGTCGACCGCTTCGTCATGCCGGCGACGCTATAGTCATAGCGGCGGCACGCTTGAAACGCTGGTACCGTCGCGATTCAGAAAAATTTGGCAAAATCTTAAAAAATGAGAATAATCTCAATACCGGTCTTCCGCTGAGCTCGATATCTAGATCGACAAGAAAAATCCGATGCAGCATCCTATCCCCGTAAATTCTTGGCGTTTCTGCAAGAGACTTCACGGCTCGGCTTTCGGCCCGACATTTTCGGGGGGGGGGGTCGGCTCGAAACGACAGCCCCGAACGGCACGAAGATACACGGAATTCGTTTCTGCACGGACGACCCAATAGACGTGGGAAAGAACTCATCTGTTCGACCCTTTTCGTGCTTGTTTCTGTTTTTCTGCCTCGTGGGATCCGGTCCGGTTCGCAACGGGAGAGCCAGTACGCGAAAAATTTCCCACGCGACAATAACCATTGTGCAGTTCGTGTACGGTATGCTTTGATGCGAAGAGGTATAATCTTTATCTGAATTTCGCTTCACGACAGAATTAATTAATTAATTCTGTAACGCTGAATTAATTAATTAAAGTTTATTCATTTATCAAAATGTCAGTTTTTTTCGTGTCCAAAATTTGGCAGGGTAAACACTTTCATGATATTCAGAAAAAATATCATTTATTATTTCAAGACTACTAAGGGATTTTAAGTGCTTGAATGCGTGAACACCGACCTGTGATGACGAAAGTATAGACGAGATAAGCATAGAAATTGCATCTCTCCGCCATGGAGCCACAGACGAGGGTGGAGGCGGTGGCGGCATGGACGAAGTCGAAGAACCAGTGACCGTATTCGCCTGGGGGTAAATTGCTGTTGGCCCAGAAGTTGTAGCTGAGGAAAGAATTCCCCTCGCTACCGAAGGCTAGAGGAAATCCAATCAGCCAGTACGCGATTCCCCCGATCACTAAAATAAATAGTTTCATAAACCGACTGAATAACGTGATTTGGAATCATTCAGAGCCTCTCCACCAATTTCATTGAAATTGTTGAAAAAACAATATGTTCATGTCCGAGATAAATTTCTTAGAGATTTCTCGTATGGTGTTCCATCTGAGAGTAGGTAAGGTTGAAAACTTTTTTTGGCCATGTGTGTAAATATAAACTGTTTAATACCTTCAAAAATTCTGCTTTATTTATTGATATGGTTATTTCCAAATAGTTCTCTTCGACGAGCAGCGATATTGGGAAGAAGAAATCGGGAGACCGAAGAGACTTCCTTGCACGAAGAAAGCAGACTTACACATGTCGAGGAGATTCTTGATGAGGATGTTCACCGTGTTCTTGGATCTGACGGCGCCAGCTTCCATGAACGCGAAACCCGCCTGCATGACTGGAAAAGGAAGGCAAAAAGGATGACACGAGCGATCCTCCCCGCGGACGGAAGGGGTCCCGAGATGCCACCGTACAAAAGATGATGATGGACATGGTGAGGAGGTACAGATCGTCGAGGGAGTTCTTGAGGGAAACCAACTCGTGATCTCCCGTGCCCACCGCGTCTCCCCCCATTTCTCTCGCATCTAAGTAAAGGTAAAGGTAAAAACTTGACGGAAGTTCATTGTCCCAGTGAGGGCATGCCAAATTTTATCCGCATGACTCTTTTTGCCAAAATCGAGACCATTGAGATATTTCTCAATTTGATTGGTTAAAATAATATTGGCGAGTGACTGAACCCCAAACGCTTCCCCGGATTTTGCTGTCACCAATCCACAAAAAGTTATTTCTTTTTTTTCTTCTGCGTTATTCTTTCGTAGACACCCTGTACTTTTCTTCGAAAAAAGCGAAGAAACTAGCCAGAGACCCACACAGAAGAGCCCGCTAATAGGAAGAAGAATCGTCCGAGATGAGGCTGGAATCTTCGAACTGTTGAGGGCTTATGGAGGGCATCTGTCGCGGGAGATTTAAATGCTATTAAAGGGATGCAGGCGCGTTCGCACGGCGGAGTGTCGTCCGTGCCTGCCCCGGACGCCTTGAGTCCCTCTTCCTGTCCGATCGAGTCTTGGCGGGGTCAGCGTTACTTGGATATCAACGCGCGGGCATCCGTTTTGAAGCACCTGGGTGTAGTTGGATCTGAGATTTCTCCAAGGAAGGCTTGCGAAATTCCTCAATCAGCTGGCCTGTAGTCTTTGATCGTCGACATTGAGAATGCCTTATAAGAATGCCTTGAAAAGAATGCCCTTAAAGAAGGCCCTAAAAGAAGGCTTTAAAAGAAGGCTTTAAAAGTGGTCTCTGTGCCGAGACACTTACACGGCTTGAGACTGACAGACGACGGAACTTCTTCGAGTATGCACCACGTGGGAGATTCGCCGTTCCGGAGCGAGGGGAACTTCACTGATGGAGATGTGAAAGGCTTCCCACGTCGGGATATAACTTATATGGTAGGCTGTCTCGTCCCAAAATATCTGCAGATGCTTATCTGGGACGCGATGTATTTTTCAGTTGAGTTACTTGGGAGAATTCCTGGAAAGATAACCGGGTATCAAGATGAACCTCTTCGCAGTGGACTATTCCAAGTCTAATCCGAGCATGCGAAGGTTAAGGGCGAGGGGGAAGATTCAAATCCGAACCATGCCTGTCGTACGTTCGGGACGTGTGACGAGTTTATCAGGGGACCTCTCTCGTGGGATCTACGCAAGGAGATCCACTTGTAAACATATGATCGAATGGATTGCATCTGGAAAGAAATTTTAGACGGGATAAAATTCCCGGAGAGAGTGGCCGGAGGTGGGTATTTCCCCCACCCCAAATTACTTTCTTCAAATATTAGGTGACTTGCTCCGAATCCGTATAAGTTGAAGTATCCTCTCACAATGGTCCTCCCCTATGCGAATCAATTAAACTGAGATAAACTTATTCCCATAGATGCCCATTATGGAAATGAATCAGTTTAAAGTTAAACGAATCTGGTGCATGTCACCCATTCTCATTAATTGTTGAGGTAAGAAGATGATGGACGCTGATTTTAGATGCGGTGATTCCAATAACGCGCAGATTACATGAACCTAATGAGCTTCGATTTCTTCCAAGTTTCAGCCTTTCTCAATAGCAGCTCTGGCATCCTCCAGCGGAAGCATCCTCCGCGGCCACGCTGGAGGATGCCTCCAGCGCATTCCGAGTCTCCGCGCGGGAAGGGAATGCCGGAAGCGATTCGCATTGCACGCGATGATGGTTGCGATGTTAAGACATTTGGGTGAAGCTAATGCTATGGCATCTTTTCGACCTCTTGCTATTGATGGTTGTCAATCTCTGTTAGCAAACGAGGGGTTCCGCGGCCAGGACGTTTCAATTGGGGCAATAGTCAGCCGGTTGTCCGGAATTTCCCCGTCGATTTTTTTGTCGTAAAATTTGAATAAGAAGTCAGAAGTCACTTGGCATATATAATAAAATTACCTTCTGATATAACGGCCGAGAAGAGTCATGGTGTTGCAATAAAAACTCAGTCCATGCTGGCAGTTGCCGATGAAATTATTTCCACTGAAGTAGGTGACCTCCAAAAGGGAGGAAGAACAGCCGCCGATCACGCGCAAGGGAAAAGACCCGTGAATGGAAGGGGTGAAATCTTTGAAAGTGCAATGAGTTTCCGGGTTCAGGATTTTATTGGTGATTGTTGAGGAGATCCAGCAAATTTTATCAATTGGTAAATATTAGAGCTTGCTGGAGTGCGAGGCAAATTCCACGAAATTTGTATTGTTGTGCCTTATGCCTCCACCTTACCTTTGCAAGTATTTATTTTCGCCCTGCTCTAAAATTTCCGCTTGCAACCGAGTGGAGATTCCGATTTTTTCTCAGCGTTCGAGCTGAGAAAAACTTCGCTTTGATCGTTGAGCATTCAGGGAACCGACGGCCGTCCACGAGATACGGATTCGTCCCGTTATCCGATTTTATCCGATTTCGGTTCTTGCCTTGAAAGAAAAAGCCCCCTCATCCCCCTGGCCCGAGGGGCCCGAAGCGTCAAGGACGTAACGGAACGTGCCGGGGATCGAGAGAGACGCAACGCGCATTTTGACCCGGGTGCATGGGAAGAAGGCAAATAGACGGATTCGTCGAGGTCGGAATCCATCCGTCTTCAGTTCTCGCCGGGGGGCCGGGAAGGGAAAAAAAAATTGGATGCGTCGAGCACGCTCTCGAGCCTTTAAACGCTTTAATGGGTGATATGCAGCAGTAATTAATGGAGTATATTACTCTTAAGATCCTCGTCTGTTAACCCTTATCCAGGCAAGGTATTTTGTAACATAAGCAGTCATGTCGAGTCCAATGGACTCTTTATTTCTTTTTGACTATCGACCTGTGTTCATTTGGTTGTCCCGTTTGCAATCATTTCACATTAACACGAGAACGATTCCCAGAGTATTCACGTGTCAAAAATAGGTAAATTACTCCGTGAAAATTTGATTACTGAGACGATTAGAAGTAGTATATTTTTACCGTGCCATGCAACGTGTTGACTCAAGTTTCTGAGGTTTTCTTCCAACTCTTCATTGTCTTGGATGTATTTTTTTTATTGTTATTTCCTGACATTCAAGATCTCACTGCAATCTCTAAGGTAACAGAAAAAAATAATTATTAACAAGTTGCAAATCATACTCATTTTGAAATCAATTTTTTTTTTAATATTGTTTTGCCAGCTTCTTCACTTCAGGATACCTAAAGAGATTACTCAGAGCTGGGTGCCAGGGTCAGGAGCGGTGAAAAACTAATTTAAAACAACGCGACAATCTGATACAATTCCCAATAATTTTGCATGCTTACATCCAGTGGCGTATTTTAGCACAAGAGTCGGGGGGGGGGGGGGGGGGGCG